ATAACCTCGGATCAAAAAATGAATTCCCACTCTTACCAAAATCCCATCTATCAGTAACAATCAAGAAACAACAAATGGAAATCTAACCACAACAGGACACCAATGGCGGATCCAGAATATTCAAAGAAACGTCAAGTTTTTACGCGCATCTTAGCCTTGGAGCTGGTAAAATCATCACAAGTTTGATAAAATTTTATATGAATTCAAAATGCATGGATAAACAAAAAGCATAAGCTTATTTATAGTACGAATTCATGGGGGGCTCCAACCAAGTTTTATTCTTGATAAAATTTAAATTTTACAGTGCGGCCGGCTAGAAAAAGAACACTTGGACGATTGCGATTGATGTTTCACACAATCCCATCTGATTGGATTTTGCCATTTGCCAAGCCAACAATTTTCTATTCTCACAACCGACAGTGAATTATACATTATGGGCTGTCTTTAATTGAACTTTTTTTTTCAATTACGTAATTAATGAAAGGGTTAATATTAATTAACGGGTAATTCTACTTAATTAACTTTTAATTTGCTTATTTTGCAATAATAAACACAAGGGAACAAAAAAAAGTGGATCTAGTAAATGTACCTGTATGCCGTTTGGCGAGTTCTGAGAAGTGAGGACTCGGAGCTGGGACTCAGTCTCCGGAATCAGTTGCGGCCGAAAGATTTTCACGGCGGCGATTCTGGGAGCCTTCTTCAGAAGCGTAAACTTGTAAGTATTCGAATCCAACGGGCTGTGAAGAAAGAGATCGGAATTATTATACACTTTGAGAATCCTCTTCACTATGGACGGGCCGGTGAGCTCGAATCGCCTAGCCCCGCCAACTAAACAAACCGCAATTCTCGGCCCTTTCTTAGGCTCGGGCTGGGTCTTGTTCTGTACATCATCGTCATGGCTGATGGGGGAGTAGTTCTTGAATATGGATTTGAAAGGGCCAAAATTGGAAAAGGATTTCCTGGTGGTGTTGGCGTTGATTGACAAGAGAGAAACGTAGATAAAAAGTAAAATGGGTAAAAGGATTAAAAGCAGTAGCCTCCTGTCAAGATCCGAGATCCATCTGGAGAATTGCACCAGAATTTCTTTTGGGTTTTTTATGAAATTCATCGTGCTTGAAAAAAATCCAATAATCTCTTGAATTTTGTGCCTCTCGTTCTTCTTCCCATTAAGCACACGCAGCAGTAATGATTAATTCGAGAGAGAGAGAGAGAGAGAGTATAACAATACATACAAAATATAAATAGAGAGAGAGAGATAGACTACGGACTTTTCAAAGATTTTGATTTTGGAAGGTTTCTTGATCTCTCTCTTTGCTTTCGATTGGTTCGTTGGAGGTCTGAATAGATTTTTAGGTTAAAAATTGATGATTTTTTGTATTTTGAAAGAGGAACAGATAAATTTATTGACAAGTAAATGAGCAAATTATACATTATACAAAAATGATTATTTTTTTGGGAAGTTTATAAATCACTTATTCTTTTTATTTTTATTTATTTATAATTTAAATTTTTTATAAATATTTTTGTGTAATGTTATTTGGGAAAAATCATATGTACAGAAATTTATTTTACAGATATTTTACACCTACTCACTTGTGTGGGGGCCCATCGAAATAAAAAATGAAAAAAAAACCCACATTTTGTGTATCTAGTGGTTTTCTGTGAAGCATGGTTCATGTTATTTATAGTCAACGACTATAATAGTCAACATATGTGGTAGCTTGTTAATTGAGACAATGTAATTATAGAAAATTAATGCATCAAATAACAATCACATACAATAACTACTTGTAGTCGTTGAATAATAATATCATTACCCATTTCCAAAATATGCATATTGTCATATTATCTTATGAAACAAGATGTAAGGACGTTTGGGTATATTTATTCCCTATTTCACAATTATTATTTTCAAACTATTTTTTATATATACTCATTTTCAATCATACATTCACAAAATAAAATATTTTGCACGTAAATCTAAATTTTTATTGAATAATATTATTTATCATTAATAATGATGTTCGCTAATCTAGGGGTGGTGAGCTATGGTGAGCTATCATGATTTTAATGCACTGAATTATAAAAAAAATAATATTATTTAGAGCATGTTTGATTCTCATTAATTGAGAAAAAAAATAATATCTTGTATTTTATTATGTAAATGTGTGGTTAAAAATGATCTTATAACAAATCATAAAATAAATTAATATGGGTCAAACTTGCACTTGGTATGTATTTAGGAACTGCTGTTAAATAATATTATTCTTTTTTCTATGGGGGAGGAAAGAATAATGGAGAAATGCGTAATTATGTTGCTAATTTGAGTTTAATTGGGGAAATCTAGAAGAATGTCGGTAGGAGTGAGGGATTAGTAATGAATGAGTGTGGCAATTGGGTTCAGATTAAATAATTAAGATATGGTTTGACGACATGCACTTTATCCCATGTTAGGTAAGAGACTTTCATTATTTAAAATTAACGGTGAATTATTGTTTTGACATTTTCATAATTTAATTAGTCTTTTTAGTCGTTTGTCATCTATCTATATTTTATTCGCCGTAGAAAATTCCATGGCTGAACATTGAACTCTTCAAATTATAAATAATAAATAGATAAATGATTTTTAAGTAATTAATAATTTATAACATATTAAAGGGTATATTTTGTAGGAATACACTTAGAGGTGACAAAAGGATCGAGTAGCTCGTCATCTCGACTCGTCAAAGCTCAACACATGGATGACTCGAGCTCATTTCGGGACGAGCTCACAAATGGTTCGTGGGCTCGTAAAAAATCTAAAGAAAAAAGTAAAAAATTTAAATTTAAATTTAAAAAAACAAAAGAATAATTGTTTAAACAAAAGAATAAAAGAATAATCCTATTTCTCCCTTAATGTTATAATTGTATAAAAAAAAAATTCTTGTGATAATTAATATATTATAAATTAATCTAACACTTTTATATTTTCACACTTATGTCCCCAATTTTTCCATCATATTCTTACTATCTATTTTCTATTATTTAGCACATAATGTCTTTGATGATTTTCGTGCAAAAAAAAATTATTAATGTGTTTTATAATAAAGGATATATATTTAGTTGCATTTTTATATTTATGTTTTTATTTATTTAGAAATGTAAAAACAAATAAGTATTTCCGTGCTCTTTAACACAATTTTTTGATGGAGCTGTCGTATGAATTAATTAATTGCGTTAGTAAAAAAAAAATTCAGAGACCATATTCAAAAGATGTTCAAAATAAATTCTGAAATTGGATGGAAATAAAATTCAGAGACCATATTCTAGCCGTGTACCATCATTAATGGTTGCTCCAGCCACACAACCTTTGCACGAGAGAAATTTTGTTTTTTTGTTTTTCTTGCTCAATTCTAAAACTTGTGATTCTTGATTTGATTTTGAGGTGTACATTATCTAATTAAAGGTCATAGTTATTATTATTTTTAATTATTTTGCTTTTCAAAAAAAAAAATACCATCATAACCTTGACGTGTTTTTAGGCTCCACCGGAGCTGGACATAGGGTGTTAGGTTCCCCCACTCACAATATATAAAATAGAAATGTATACAAACAATGGGGCTTACATCTTACGTCGAGGAGGTATTTGGCCCCTAAAAGGATTGGGGTTTTAGATCCTTGGTAAATCCCTTTTCTTGAAGGCTTACGCGACCAAGAATGGGACTAGACATTACACGTGATTAAGAGGTAGAGAGGCCTTAAACAGGGAAAAAGAAGTAATACATTAGCAAGCCTCCAACCGCGAGCATCCCATAGCTATAATCCATACTAGGCTATGAACACGTTGGCAAATCAAATGGAAAGCTACCTTATTTCCCTTATGAAGGATATGGAAAGTCGTAGCTTGATTGAGGGAAACCAATTGTTTGATATGTACGAGAATAGCTTGGATGGATCATGGTCCTCAACCATGTATGATGTAGTAGATTGCAGCAAAAGAATATGCCTCTATCCATAAACTTGAAAGTCAAAGTTGACAATGAATAAGGATACCATGAAGAATGGCTTGCAGCTCTGTCGCAAGAATTTGGTAGCAGTCGTAGGAAGAAAAGTTTGGATACATCGTCCATCATGATCTCTAATGATAACCCAACAACTCGTAAAATCTCTCCTGACACATCTATCAGTGTTGAATTTATAGGATCCTACTGGTGGAACATGCCAAGAAACTAAAAAATAGGATGTGGAGACAGTGGTTGGGTGAGAGAATTCCAAATAAATGGGCAATATCTATGTCCCATCAATGCACAACTCAAAATAAACACTCCGCGTGAATGAGTGAGATAGTCTGATGAACATAACAAATAATTTTCTAAACATTCATAGCTATATCCTAGTATTTCACATTGTTCTTTATTATCAATAGAAACCAAAGGATAAACAGCGAAATTAGAGTCTTAATGTGGTCACCACAAACAAACTGACAAAAATATCGCCACTATGAAAACGGTATTGGAAGTCTTTACCCTCCCATAATGGGATCTAAAAAATATTAGAGGAATGTTCCAAACCTGGTATGATATACAACTCCTTGTGAATAGATGTGAAATAGTTTCAATCGCGGAGCAATACTGACATCGGGATGTCAATGACATCCAATCCAGTGTTGGATTACAACGTTAAGACGGATAAGTCCTTGCCACAGTCGCCAACAAAAGAATGAAATCTTCGGAGAGATAATAGAGTTTTAGATCACATGATAGATATCCTACGGTGAACGTCCCAAACATACAAGCTGCCAACAGATTTGGTAGAAAAATTCCGACCTCGTATGTCTGTCCACATAATTCAATCAGGAATATCATAGCAAAATTTATACTCCCAATTTGCTCAGTAATAAAGGACGGGAAAATCTCTAGAAGTTGATAAATATCTCATCCAGTGTCATCAAATAAGTCATGTACTAGGGACAATATATGATGTTGATGTGGTAGCAAATCCACAAACGTATAGTCTCCCATCTAGCAATCATGCCAAAAGAATATACTTCTTTGTCCTAGTCGCTACGTAGTATGTGTCTCTGTTTGTATAGCAACTAACTTAAGCCTACACTAAATAGATGAAGTTGAATAAAGGAAAAGACCCATGAGGGGATGAGTATTCAAATTGTACTTTCCCAGCAAAAATTGAGACCAAAGCAATCGCTACGATCTAAAAAGCCACCAGAGTTTAAGGGAGAAGGTGTCAACAATATCTTATAGTCTTCTAAAACCTAGTCTATCCTCTTCAATAGGAAGGCATTGGTTCTTCCATTTTCTCTAGTATAAACGATGTGTCTAATATTTTGAATCCCATAAATGTCTAGCAAATATACCCTCAATTTTCTTTAGAACAACTTTGTGGACTGTATAATTAGAAGGAGGTACAATGGGATAGAGTAGAGAACATATTTTAGTAACATAATCCTTCCTTCTAGGGGATAGTAATCTCAATGTTCAACCAGAAATTCTGCTCCTGGCATCTTGAATAAGGTCATCATAAAGAAAAATTGTTTAGCCCCTTTGCATAAAGGGCCCCCTAAAAAAGTAAATGACTGTTGTAGGTGATGGAATCATAGGAGGAAGGATTAGACCACTCTGTCATTGTTACCAATTGATTAAAAACATCTTCATAGTTTAAAAGACTGTGAAACAATCGTTGTATGGATGGTTTCTAGCCATTGGCAAAAATAATCATATCATTAGCAAAAGATAAGTGGAAAGTAGTAGTAGTAGCAGCAGCAGCAGTAGTAATAGTACCGTCGAGCATGTATGTCATACCCGGATACCTTAGAAACTAATGGGTTAGAAATCATGAGAGATAATCATGAGCAATAATGAAGAGATGAGAAGATATGTGATCTCCATGTCTGAGAATCGACTTCAGAGATACAACATCAGATCCAATCAAATCCAAACTCCTTTAGTACAGAGAGGAGAAAATCCCAATCCAGGTTATCATAAGCTTTAGCCATGTCTAACTTAAGGATTACATTATCTCATCAAACCTTCAAATACAGGATATGTAGGAGCTAAGGAGGATATTATCACCAATAAGTCTACCTGATATGAATCCGCTCTGTTGTGGAGA